TCCTGCTGTTCCCATGGCGACTGGCTCAAACTGTTTACGCCGTCACTGCCCTATTTAAAGCCTCCGGTCGATGCCACCCTATTTTTTTACAGAAGACACGACTCCCCCCTTTGCTTCTATTCTGGGCTCCTCCTACGCTTCTCTGGGTCTAAATATAGCCGGGCTGCTTCTAAAGATACACCCAACATAAAGCCTTGGGGAGGGGGGAGAAAAAAGGGGGAAGGAGCACAAGACCTGATTCTTTCTAAGAGGAAACATTTTTTTATATTTCCTGCATGAATGCAAAGGGCCTTATTTAGTGGGAATGCTGTTAACAGCATTCCAACTATCTGTTCTTCTACGCACAAAATTCTTTATTATTCCGCCGGAATTTTGCACCTCTTCTCCTCCCGCATTGAACATCGCAGAAACTCCGTTCAAACATCAAAACGTTCAGCTCGGTCGGGAATCGATGGCTATTACTTTTATCATTCATAACTTTCATAATTCCAGAGATACATCCCATAATACATCACATGTTTAACCATTGAAGTCAATGGAGAAATTATTCAGACTTCAACAAATCTTCATGCGACTTCAACAGGCCACATTATTAACCCAAAAGTACACAAAAATTACACTTCAGATACTCAACTTCCTTGACATGCTTCACGTTTTGAAATTTCACAGATATCTGTTACGGTTATTCGACAAAACGTTCACATGTAAGAGGTTTATCTCTCATTCAGAACAATGGAAACCTTTGATCTCTGCACACCTCGTTAGCTCAAATATAAACACGATGATGTCATAACACACAGGTGTTCGTGTTTGAGCTAACGACGTGGTCACTGGAGTTTAACAGACTGTCTGAGCCTATTCTTTTCTGTCTGATGGAGACTTCATACTGACTTCAACATCTTCCACCTATTTTATACATTATTGGTGACACACAGCTGTCGTCGTTAGCTCAAATATAAACACCTGTGTCATGGAACACGATGATGTCACATTGACAGGTTTGGTAACGATGCAGCCATCAACGCATCTAACCGTATTATGGGGTGTCATCAAATGCCGTTGTCATGGCGACAGACCACTCGCCATGAAGCACGATGTCGCTGTAAGTCCAATGGACACGGTCCGATCGCCCCCCAAACTTCGCTTGTATATCACCGGTCCAGCCCTCAACAGCTCTACGTCAATTATGGGGTTTCTTCAAATGCCGTTGCCATGGCAACACAATGCTCGCCATGAAACACGGTTTTCTCATAACTTCAGTGAAAATGCTCCAAACGGCCCAAAACTTCACAGGTTTGGTAACGATGCAGCCATCAACGCATCTAAGCGTATTATGGGGTGTCATCAAATGCCGTTGCCATGGCGACAGATCACTCGCCATGAAACACGATGTCACTGTAACTCCAATGGACACGGTCCAATCGCCCCCAAACTTCGCTTGTATATCACCGGTCCATGCCTCAACAGCTCTACGCCAAATCTGAGATCTCACCATGTGCCGTTTCCATGGAAACGCATCCCTCGCCATAAAACACGACGTTGTGGCGGCCCAAAACTTCACAGGTTTGGTAACGATGCAGCCATCAACGCATCTAAGCGTATTATGGGATGTCATCAAATGCCGTTGGCATGGCAACAGATCATTCGCCATCAAGTTAGTTCAAAAGTTTGCAGTTCAAATATTCTGCTGCTTTTCCAAGCCTTTTACTTTCTTTTCTTCTCTCATCACACACTCTCAAGCCCCCAGTATTCATGTATCATTTCAATCTAAATTATTCACTTTCTTCTTACACATTACATTTCGGCATAGCAGTTTAGTGTCAGCTTTTCAGCATAAAGCATTCCCACTAGCAATTTCTTCAGGAATTGCATTCTCTAGTTTCCTAAATAATACCCTGACTGTGTAAACTGGAGTGCACTAGTGTTTCTATATTTTGTTTTATTATAAATACTGTATGTTTAAGGTTAACTTATAAACTCAGAAATCCCCAAGTTTATGAATAGATAAAGACTGCATTAATGCAGCATGTAGCACACTGAGAGCCTCGAGGCCAGACAAAGAGATTTGGAGGACAAATATAGAATAAAACTGTTTTGCCATATTTTGACTTAATAAATCAATACTTGGCACTCAGTTAGAATAGTTATACTGTTGAGTTACAGCTCTAAACAAATATCATCCAAGTGTTCCTCGTACAGTAGTCTTTGACAGCTTTTTAAGAAGTATTCAGATTTTTTACTTAAGTAAAATTAGCAATTATACATTTTAAAAGTACTTTGTTACAAGTAAAAGTCCTTCATTCAAAAGCTTATTAAGTAAAAGTACAAAGTATCAGCATCAAAATATACTTAAAGTACCAAAAGTAAAAGTACTCGTTATATGTAATGGCCCATTTCAGAATCGAATATATAAATTGAGTTGCTGGGTGACTATTAGGATTATTCGAGTGTGTTTATCACAGGTGGATAATGTAGAGCTAACATAAACTGCCAATACACAAGCGTGAACGAATAAAGACTCATGCACAGGTGAATGTACAGCAAACCTCCTCTTTATATAACTTGAAGTGATCCACTAACACAAAAGGAATAAACAGCGTTGCATTTTGTATTTGAGCTGAAGTAATCAAAGCCAACACCACCTACTCACCCACCGATATCTTGACACCTCTTTGTTTCTCACACTCTCCACTGCTCAGCTGTTATTTCTCTCACACACTCCCCTCCTCCCCTCCCTGTAACTCCAATTAATTTGTACTGGCAGGGTGCAGAGGGAGAAAACACTGCCAAAGCAATATAGCACCACCAGTGGCTCGATATTATGGCTCTAATATTAGTTACATAATACAGCTTAAAAGCTTAGTGATAACAGCCAAGTAAGGAAAAACGTAGCGGTAAAGATGCAGTTACAATCAGAACCACAATACCTCTATTCGGGACATTTACATTGTTACAGCAAAAGTGAAGATATCAAATAAAACACAATTAGAAAAAGGGCGTGCACATAATATTTAAAATTTAAAAATGTAAAAGTTATTCCAATTTACATATTGAGTTTCAATCCCAATACATTTTCCAATTCCTTTAAGCAATGCCACTTTAATGCTGTATTGATAATGTATTTAACCAACTTTATACAGAAATGTCTATCTCTTAACCAGCTTAATGCCCCCCCTCTTTACCAGTAAGTCTTTAACTGTGTGTATCTGCTCTTTGATTGCTGAGCAGGTAGTGTACAGTGGCCTTATCGGAACCTTTTCATTGAAAACAAGTGACCCCACTGAAATCACACATCATTAATTGACAGTGACGTGCGGTGAGGTTCATGGCTGGTGAGGCACTGACTCACTGAGTCAGATTTACAAATATTATATTTTGACCTTAATCGAAATATTCGGTTATTTTCAAAAGCTTTTTTAGTCTGATGCTTCGATTCATTTTAAACAGACCGTTCAACAAAAGGATACCCAAAATCTAAATATTGGATTGTTCTTTCTTAGTAAGATCCCATTTTCATTACAAATGTGGTCTTACCTTGACTTGAAGATGAAGTCCATGCTATCCTTCTGGACAACAATCTTTATTATTTTTTTGTAAAAGTCCTCCTTATCTTCCTGTAGTTTCAAAAGTCTAGTTTGTTGTTACGTCTACCGTCTCTGCGTAGAATCACAGTAGCAACAAGAACCTGTGGGCTCACGTGCGCCCCCTTCAGTGCGGCAGAGGTTATGGCTGCCTCCCCTGGTGCATTTTCATTGCCGTTGAGACCAGCGAGCCTAAATATCATATATACGTGAAATAAGTTATTTAGAGACTATGGATGGCGAGGATAAATGTAATAAAGGGATCTACATACATTACATTGGTGACCTACAGTGAGATGGTAACAGGCATGCGCTTAGGGCCCGCTTTCCAGCCAGTTTCTGTGGGGTGACGCATTCTGAGGTGAGGCAGATCTCATCTGTGCCTCACCTCACCCCACAGTAACTGGCTTGAGCGCACTCACAAAATAAGTGCCCGCGCTAAATTAGTGCCCGTGCTCCAGCAAGTTACTGTGGGCTTACGAGAGGCAGAGCACGTGCCTGCCTCACTTCTCATCGCTCCCGTAGCGGAGCTCGGCAAATTTGATGATTTTGACTATAAAAAGCGATTGGAATCATACATAAATCACACTTACAACACAGATCAGTGGAGACATTTTATTATTATTACTATTTCGTTTTTCTTTAGTTGTTTTTCCGTTACATTGGAGTATGACAGGTGAGGCTCTGCCTCCCCTGCCTCCACTGACTGCACGTCGCTGTTAATTGAACTAATGTTCAAATAAAAAAATGACAGGGGCAGCTTTGAAAATCAATAAGTAGTAGAAGTGTAGTGAGTGTAACAAAATAACAGAGGGTTCCTAATCCCTTTTGGCAATGATGAACATTTAAAAGACTTGGGAGGACATTGAAAGATGGATTTAAAAAAAGGTGAAAGTGTAAAATATTTGTTTTACTAAACATCTGCTCTTTTAAAATAATGGGGAAAATAATATATCTGACTGGATGACAAATGCAAAAACGCTTTCGGCTGATGTTGAAAACGTACAAAATGACAAAGGATGACACTTTAAAAAGGAAAAACATAAATGTAGTATTACTTAGAGTGTCAGAAAATATATTATGCAGCACATTTATGAAGCTCTATAGATGGAGCAAGGCCACAAAATTACCCAACATGCAATGTGTGTGAGTTTGGCAAATTTGTACATAATTGTGTGGGTCGGGATACATTAACTACTCCTAGTTCCTGATCAAATGTTTTTTGATTCTATGATTTTGTATGTATGTAGTTTTGAAGTAACATGCTGAAAGGTTGAATGTTGGGCATTCAAAACCTTACTCACTGTAAAATTCTAATTATATATAATTTTAAAAAATGACTGAAACATGTATTCATTTGTCTTCTTCTTTTGTCCTGCTCCTCCCTCTCTCCATGACCCACAATGCACTCTGTTCCAGGGGACGCCTCTGTGCGCTGTGAGCAGCTGGACCTGTTGCTCCAGTGGGGGGCGGAGTTTCGCCGCGCCTCCTCCCAACCCCCTGAAGGAGAGAAGGTTCTGGAGGACCTGGTGGCCTTCGATGTGGTCCTGGGAGACCTCAACTTTGATAACTGCTCTTCAGGTGAGCAAACATCATGGCTAAATCACTATATGCTCTACTTTACACTTTGTTTTGTTTTGTTTGATGCAGATTAGTTCAATCAAATGATGGAGGTTCTCTTTGTGCTTCTTTCACCTGGATAATGTTTGAACCCAGGAAACAGTGACTTGTCCATAATGTATCACTGATTTAATGACATCTAAGACCTCTGATAGCTCTGACAGGATATTTGCACAGTGCCTGGGCTTTTATAGAGGAATCTTATAAAATATGAATGAACGTAGCATTAACTGTGAAAGCTAAAGGTGAACATATAGAGTGACATGACTCATCACTATCATGTTACATGACTCATCACTAACATGTTACATGACTCATCACTAACATGTTATATGACTCATCACTAACATGTTACATGACTCATCACTAACATGTAACATGACTCATCACTAACATGTTATATGACTCATCACTAACATGTTACATGACTCATCACTAACATGTTACATGACTCATCACTAACATGTTACATGACTCATCACTAACATGTTACATGACTCATCACTAACATTTTACTCATGACTAACATGTTACATGACTCATCACTAACATGTTACATAACTCATCACTAACATGTTATATGACTCATCACTAACATTTTACTCATGACTAACATGTTACATGACTCATCACTAACATGTTACATGACTCATCACTAACATGTTACATGACTCATCAGTTACATGTTAGGGTAAGATGATTGCTTTTCCCACAAATAGAGTGGAATCAATTTCTCTCTCAGGTACAAATCAATTTTACAGTTTGTAATTCTCATGCTGTAATTATCATAATTACATAATTATCATTCAGATCACTTTTAATTGAGTATTATTCATATTTCATAGTTAGTTTTTAACCCTTAAAACGTTCATATATAAACATTGGCAAACTACTTTTTAGTTATTCTCTCTGAAGACTGAATACATTGTGTAAGAATAATATTGAACGTATGGGAGAGTATTAATTAATTGAAATATTTAGAATTAACATATTTATTATCAAATCTAATACATAATATTCTAAATGTATTGATGCCAAATTGCCAAATTGTTTTGTCACAGCAGCAAGGTAAGAAGCATTGCAAATAATACACAAATATAATTTTTTTTATAGCAACTATCAGAATCAGAATTGTCCAAAAAAAAAACACTATTTAATAAAAGGCATGCACAAAATATAAAAAATAAATAATTCACAATTAAAATGTACAAAACACGTTCAGATAAAAAAAGTGTACCATGTGGTAGCAGCCAGATGACATTAGCAAAAGTAAAAGTATATGTTGCACAGAGTTATTTACAGATCTTTTTATGAAATAGTCTAACTAAGAAAGCAGCCAGTAATATTAATTTCATAACGAGGTACTTATTGCAATACAGTGGTGACATAGTGTGTGTGTGTGTGTGTGTGTGTGTGTGTGTGTGTGTGTGTGTGTGTGTGTGTGTGTGTGTGTGTGTGTGTGTGTGTGTGTGTGTGTGTGTGTGTGTGTGTGTGTGTGTGTGTGTGTGTGGTGTGTGTGTGTGTGTGTGTGTGTGTGTGTGTGTGTGTGTGTGTAGAGTATCTAAGAAATGCAAAATAGAAAATATACAGAGTAAGTTAGCAATGCTCCACATTATGTTTCCTGATCATTGAAACTCATACCACCCTGTTCTCAGGCAGTACTAACTGAGAAGGAAGAATCAGAGATGTGTTACTCTTGTGTTTAGACTGAAGTCTAAATTAATCTCTGCCTGTGCTCCTGTGTTTTCCAGAGGACAAGCTGGAGCAGCAGCATGCACTTTTTACTCAATACAAGGACCCCTGTCGCCTGGGGCCGGGGGAGGACAAACCATGGGCTCTGGGTAACCACACTCACTCACACACACACAAACACACACACACACACACACACACACACACACACACACACACACACACACACACACACACACACACACACACACACACACACACACACACACACACACACACACACACACACACACTTTAGATCTGGGACACCATCACATGTACTGTATTTCTAATCTATCCAATACATGTATGCATTCACAGATACAAAATACCTAAATACCCCAAACTAATCCTCAAAACAGGATTTCATGTTACACAATAAAAGGGAGGTGCTGCTACACACACACATCAGTGTGTTGATCCATACACACAGATTGATCTAAATCAGGTTGCAACTACTGTGGGAATATAAATGCTGCGTGCGGACACATGGCCTTAGTGACGTAAACACTGGAGGGTTTTGGTCTGGATGCAAAGTGTTATTTAGGCCAGCGGTATTTCTGGGACAGTGTGGGCAGGACAGAGTGAAAGGGCTCGTTTAGAGAAGGGCTTATTTATTTGGACAGGGACATTTTGCGCAGTGAGCCAGAGGAATATATCTGAGCCTCCCGTTTGGCTGCTATTAGACAAGAGAGGAAGAAAGAGGCAGGAGAAGAAGTGCGGATCAGTGAACCAATGAAATAAAGGGGAGAAAGCTTATCAGATTTCATAAAGCTTCAAAAAGGGACACAGAGAGCATGTTGTTCTGATGGCGTCCATAGATTTCATAAACTCTGAGAACTGCTGGAACCTTCTAATTCTGACCACCCAGCCAGCCAAATAAACAGGAAAATGATGCTGCATTCAAATCCCCTTGGAATGATGGCATGCATGCCTCCGACCACTCAATGGTTAAAAGTGGGGATACTGAAGTAAAACTCACACGTTTGAAGTTGTGAAAATTAAATGTTTCAGTAAAAATCTCTCATCGTTCCTCATCTTTTCCCTTCATAACTGTGTTTTCATGTCTGATTGCAGATTAAACATGTAAACCAAAAAACCAACTGCCTATCTGTGCAATCCCATGTTTTTTAGGAGTTGTGGTCAAAATTGACATAAAAAAACAATATTTATTTACTCCCCACACATATACTACAGCTTTTTGGTGAGGCCACAAGTTATAGAGTGGAGCAGTGATGACGTATTTTTCTGGGCGGCCAAGAAGTTAGCATCACAAGGGCTCCCTCGACCAAAAGCAATGGGTTTTTCCATTGGATTTCAGAAAAGGGCAGAAAATAACATATGTGGCAAACACATATGGCAATAACGGCAGAAGTAAGCTAACTTTAGGCTCTAAAGGAACCACAACACGTTCACATGACTTTACTTAAACACCGCTAAGCTAAGGGCGGCTAATGTTTGGCGTGATGACATACAGTGGTCTCATTTAGACAATTGTTAGCAACCGCTGTTTTTAAGACACATAGAAACTTCAGACATTTACTAGTGGAGTATTTACTGATGTATTTTATGTCGTAGAACAAAACGTGAAAATCTTCTCAGCTTATGTCAACCACGGGTCCTATTTCAGGCTTCTAGCTAAAAAGACAATCAGAAAAAACGTAACTTCAAGTCCAGGGAACAGGTAGTGGTAAATTGCTAACACAATTTTGGATTTTATGACTCATTCCTGCACTACTCTTTTAAGGCAGAGTACCTGTAGCTATGTTAGCCCCCTAAAGCTGAAAGTAGTACAGCAGTGTGTCGAGGCTGTGCATCATGAGAGCTCACTTGTGAATTGACTGCTGTAACTTCAGAGTGCTGTTCTCTTCATCGGGGCATTATAAACATATTATCCAGCCCACAGCCTCATATCCTCTCCGTCAAAAGGATCTCTGAGTGCTCCTCTCTCTGCTATATTTCTGGATGACAGGCGAGTGGACCATAAAGATGGAGCTCTAAGCTCTCAGAACAAAGTCTGCTGACGACGCCTTCTTTGCCACAATGAAAAGCACTAGTGGTACTTTTAGCTACAAAGGAAGAAGCTGGTCCTCATAGTGAGGGGGAGGATTGTAAAGCATACACTAGATCAATGTGAACGGCACAGAAACAAATAAAACCCAGCCAAAAAAACACTTCTATCTCCAGGGTGCAGGGCCGCCCCTCCCTACAGGCTGATCACACAGACTGCGTGGGGCCTCACCCCCCGGAGGGGGCCTCATCTTGCGGAGGGATCTTCATTTTGCGGAGGGAGGCGCAAATGCGGCGCACCTTTCGCCGCTGCGAGGCTCCACTAGCACCCCCCCCGCCCCCCCCCCCCCCCCCCCCACGTCGACGCTCGCGACACAGAGGGCCTCATCATATAACTTTGTGTAGGGCCACAAGTTGACCAGGGGCGGCCCAGGGTGCCTTCACTGGACTCAAGGAAGCTCAGAACTGACACTAGGGGGCTAAAACTGATACACAATCCACACCGTGTTTAAAAATAATAAGGGAAAGTATAAGAATGAATTGTATCCTCTCCACACGGCACCCTCTAGTGGGGGTATTTAATGAGGGGTTAAGAGGAGAGTGGACTTGTCAGTAAAAATAATCAGGAACATGTGTCTGTCTGCGCAGTGATGCATTTAACTGTCTCTCCCAACAGGTACTCTACTGGATCCCAGCGGCCTTTATGACGACGAGGTCAGCTCACCTGAAAGTTTACAAAAGTGAGTCACACACACACACACACACACACACACACACACACACACACACACACACACACACACACACACACACACACACACACACACACACACACACACACACACACACACACTTCTACAACCACTACATGCACAGACAGGTCTCTAACTTAACTAGATCGTAAGTCGTTATTCTAAAAATAAGTTAAAGTAGTCCCCCATTCATTCCCTAACCTATAACTTAACATCAACAATGATTCAACTTTCAAACACTTTTTGTCATATGCACAATAGCTACAGCGTAGTTTTGGCAATGACAATTAAAAGTCCCAGGCTCCTAAACAACACAATATACTTAACACAAAAAAAGACATAAAGCAGTGCAATAGAGTGACTATAGCTTAATTATTTCAGATGATTGTGTTATCTCTGACTGAAATGACTCATTTGTTGGTCAATAGTGTATCTGTTTAAGTGCAGGATATATGATGAGTTGTCTTCTGCCAGAATGGAAATTGTGCCTTACACTATTCTGTAAAAATGTTGGTGGACAGCACTAGAATGTAAGACCTTCCGTACCCTAACAGGAAAACAGGCAGTAGTACAGTCAGCAGCAGCTCTATGACTGGAAATAGAACTAAAGGCATCAGGAAAAATATACTATTAAACTTCATTAGAACTCTAATGCTGTGACTCAAATCACATACTTCTGCCTGCATGTGTCATTTTGAGCGTTTAAGTGTGTCCCAATGCGTAATATGGCAAAATGCACTATGAGTAGGCCTACCCGGATGGTGTTCTCATAGCAGTCCACACGTTTAGTGTGGAACACTGTACACACTGTACAAAGAAAAGTTATATGTGTGATTTTTTTTCTGTTGTAAAGAAGCCAGCGTTAATGTTATAGGGTTAATTGAGCCATCTGTAATGATTTGGTACTGCGAACAAGCATTGCTCGCTAGCTAGAGTCATGTCTGGAGAGGGCACAGCAGCTGTGTTGTTTGTTTGTAGCCTTTATTTAACCAGGTGAAAAATCCCATTGAGATCAACGATCTCTTTTTCAAGGGAGACCTGCGACCTGTGTACGGTTTGATGCAACACTACACAGTGGAAATTCAAGCACTGCATTCTTGTTCACAATGCACAACCTGGCAGTGTACTAAGGGAAGTATCAGAATTGAAATGCTAGTCCAAAACTGATCTCTGACCTAAACACTACAGTCCAAATTTGTGAAGTACACAACTCTGTAATATTTTTTGTGTTATTACATTTTACTACCAGCAACTCCTGCGTGTTATCTTACATTTGCTGATCCATCCCTTTGTGTCTCAGAGTGATGGAGAACGAGGAGGGGAGGAAGGAGTACCTGGTGTTTCCTCCCAGTAAGAGCCAGTGTCCGGCCAGCAGTCAGAAGGGGAGGAAGATCCCGCTGAAGGGCAACGGGCGGCGGATCGACTACATGCTGTACAGCGACGAGGGCCTGCAGCCGGACTGGAAACTGGTATGGTTTAGAGAGCATTATAGGAAAATAATGTGTGAACATCAAGCCTACCGTTATTAATTGTATCAAATTAACTCCTTAACATCCAGTTTTATTTCTTTCAAGTTACGATAACAAATATTGTATCCAGGGAAATTTGCTTATTTGCTTTCTTGCTAGCACCCTATTTATTTCATAAACAGATCTACTGTCAGGTGGTAGTGGATTAATAGATAGCATACAGATATGAGTAATCCATCTTCTCATCTAACTTTTGGAATGAAAAACTAAAAACTTATATCCCAGAGTATTCTGGTATGTGTCATCACATAAATCTGTGAATCAAAATTAATTTCACCATTGAATAAGGCTGCTAATAGGGGGGAAATTGTTTTGTTTCCATTTACAGAAACTAAGTGCACAAACTGTTGAATTGCCTATAATTTTCTTGTCAGCGGGGAGGTGATGTGCCTTATTCTGCCCTGATTCATTTCCTGGCAACAAGACACTTTTTTTTCCTGAGCCAAGGGAAATGATCTCATTCTGCAGGAGAACATTGGACTTGTTAAAGGGATAAAAAGATTTAAAGACATTACATTTAGAGAGGAGACACTAAAGAACATCCACAGGGTGGAGAGAAGAGGAATGAGGGCAGCACTGTCCTGACTGCCTGTCTGTGTGAGGGATTGGAGAGGATTGAAAAAACAAACCAATCATTTACAGAGAGCACATCTCCCTTCCTCTGTGACTCGCTCTCCTGATGCCCCCTGCTGCCCCAACGTAGTAACTGTGACATAATTTCACTTCACACTGACTGCTGCTGAGCAAATCAGCAAATATAATGTGCTGAAGGTTATCCTTCCTCATAACTACACCTCAAACCCTGTTTCTTTACACATGTTATTGCACCATTGTTGTTTCTGTGTACCCATTTTATGTCGGAGCACTCTTTGTAGTATTGCCACATGATTAAACTCATTCCATTGATGCTAATACAGATCTGAAAACATTCAATCAAAAAAGATAGTATCAACTGTCAATTATTATGGCAATATTTGTGATGATAGAAGAAGAAGCAGAACATACATTTAATTAAAGGCCCACAACTAGTATTCATAGAAATAGTAATAGTGATAGTAAAAGTAATAGTAATACAAATAGTGATAATGTATTAGTGGCCAGATTCTGTTGATCATGTAGTGTAGTAGTTGAACTAGCAACAAAAAAAGCACGAGAACCATTCTTCATTAAAACAGCAATATATAAACATTTAACATGTGTTTATTTTAAGATTCTAATATGTAGTTGTAACCGAATATAAGAACATTTTAAGTGTATACTATTCAGTTTTATTTATATATAATAATAATTTAACCTATTAAGAAATATGTAATTTTATGTTTTACTATATTGTAAATGATCTGGTATATGGCAGCCTCCACTGTAAGGTGCCTTACTGGAGGAGTTATTTATTGACAAAAACATTAGTAAAGACTTTTATCTGCTTACAACTACTTACTGTATACATGTATTCAATGTCTATATTCTATGAATTCTAAAAAGGGGGGAATTAAAGTAATGGGATGCCATATTTCTTAAATGATTAATGGATCAGCTTTATTATGTATAATGTGAAAGATGTTACTCTTACTTCAAAGCTGCAGTTCTCCCTAACTCTCCAAAATCTTCAGTTTGGAAGCTTTTTCATTGCACACTACCTGACCACATGGTTTAAAACAATTCTAGTGTTGATATATGTAAATACACTATGTGCTAACATCTTAGCTTTAATTTTACGTTTCTTTCCACTATTTAAGTAATGTACCACAATACTGATGTCAAAAAAGATGCCACTGGTCATTTTATCGGGTAAATTGAGCAGTCTATAATGATCTGGTATGATTATTGCTAGCTAGCTACTAGCAAGCTAACAGCAACAATTGTCATTCCAGTGAGGATACAACAGCTGGGTGCGGTTGGAAAAACCCTACCCAGGTTAAATTCAAACACTACGCAAGTGTTCACTGTGCACAACATGGCTATGTACTAAGGGGAGTTTCCAAAGACACATCACAAGTACATGACCTTGGACCTAAGCGCTACACTCATTTTATTTTATAAATGTTTACTGCCTGCAATGAAACTGTGTGTAGAAGCCACTGGTCATTTTATAGGGTAAATTGAACATTGGGTAAATTAAGCAGTCTATTTGGTACTGCTAATGAGCATTGTTAGCTAGCTAGCTAGCTAACACCAGCTGTCTTTTCAATGTAATTTGAGAAAATCAATATTCTAAAGGAAAAACCATGACTGTTCGCTTACGCCTTCACTATAACAACTTTACATGATGGTATGTGAGAAGTTTTCAGCTTGTTACGTTGTCTTCAATTGGCTACAAAATCCATTGAGCAACGTTTACATTTCCCCAGAATAAAGGAGATCTTGATGACAGTTCTTTTCTCTTCCTCCTGCAGGACATCGAGGAGTTCAGTTTCGTCACCCAGTTGGCCGGCCTCACTGACCACCTCTCTGTGGCCATGCGGTTGGCTGTTTCCACGGGGGAAGAGGAACCTTAGATTGACCGCCTGAGCTTTTTTTAAATACTGCCATGGAGGAGTGACAGATGACCAAGAGGAGAAGAGGAGATGAAGAGTTTACAGATACGGAGCTGCATGAGAGAGACAAAATGCAGTTTTGCCAGAGGATTGAGGGGAAAGCAAATGGACGGATGAATCAGTGCGAGAGCGCTCAGTGGATGAATGGATATAAAGGAGGTGGAGGAGATCAGCAGCAGAGGAGTGATTTCAAAGAGAAAGACTCTGGAGGGGAGAGATAAGCAGGGGAGTTCAGTTTGGAAAGCCAGAAAGATTTGTTATCTTCCTGGGTAAACCACCCACACACATACTACATTCAGTAGATAAAACACAAACACAATGTGACATTTTGACTGTTGAATATTCCACACTCTTCTCCTCCAACACTGAACTGAATCCATAGGGTTTTATTTAGCGTGAATTGTTTTATGTAGCCAATTTAAACCCACTTCTTTTATGGGATCTGTTTAGCCGTAGTTATGATTATGATTCTTTTTTTTATGATTCTTCCTTCAGGGACAGTTGGATATACTTTAGTGACTGTGTATAAAAGAAAAACACACATAATATAAGTGATAGGAGAGAAGCGTACAGCTATGACTGGCCTTTACACTGACCGTGTGTGTCCTTGTGTCGTGCTCCTTCCTGAATGGCTGTCGGTCATTCATCCTGCTACTCCCCCCTCAGTCCCAGGAACCTCAACAAGTGTCTTTTTTTCTAAAAAACAAAACTAGTCTTTCTAAAAGGGAGAAAAATAATAAGATACAATTTCTATTGTCGCTACACCACTTTTATAGGGAGTTTAAATGCCTGTTTAATACTATATGGTATGTTTCTAAAAAGAGGTATTGATGGATCCCTTTCAATGGTTTTAGCTTGTTTTTTAGCCATGACTGGTACAGATAGACCAGAATTATTGGTGTAATAACAGGAACTGAGGCTTTGCGGATGCATGATGGGAAACGGTATCAGTTTACAACATTAATATAGCGTCTTGATACACTTGCTTGCTTGAGTCTGGCTGCTTGATGAGTCAAGAAGCATTTTGCCCTGAAACACACACTTACTGTATACCAGTGTGACATACTGTATGTGCATGTGAGAATTCACTCTACCGATGAATACACATAAAGGGATTCACAGAAACATTCAAAGGCACACATTATGTACAGGGGGACTTCAGGTGATGTCAAATACCCTCTGGCAGCCATATTGAAACTTCTCAAATGACAACATTTGACTTGGATATCTTTGAGAGAATCGATATCGTTTAACTAGCTTTAGCTGTCAAACCAATGTAGCTATCTGGTTAGCAAGCAATCACTGTCTTGTAAGCACGTCTGATTTGATCATAGACCAACATACAGTATCCAGGCAGGTTGTCGAATGGAAGAGCATGATAACATTGTGACGCAACTGCAAAACATCTTCATACAGAAACATCCTGGAGACATTTTTGACAATATGCCAAGTTTAGGTACACAAAAAATGTAAACAGTCACAGAGATGAAGACAACCAAAAGGTAATAAATACATAAACATCATAGCAAGTACATTAATAGATTAAGTGTATTACTACAATGCCACATAACTTCAGGTGTGTTCAGACTGAATGCAAGGCTTTATGGTTCTAACTCATAAACTAACTACAAATATACTCAAAATAGGAGAAAGATTTGTAAAAAAACAAGGAATAACTGGGCTAGAAGTCATATCTTGTACTTGTGTTGCTAGCAAGTTACAGCTAGCGGTTGTCAGCTATGAACTAATAGCTTTTTGAGGCAAATAAACAAACTGCACACAGCATTCAACATTGCACAAATAGCACAAGGCTAAAAATGTGCTTCTCATTCAGTCTAAACACACCTTCAGAGTTCTTCTCCCTCACCAGTCCTTACGTTACTTTATCCCCACACTGCTTCAGTTGCTGGTCGGACAACAGTGCACTTATAGCATCATTATAACTCATAATAATGCTATTACAGCATCATCTATAAATGATCCTTTAACTCCCAATCTGTAACAGGCCATGGTGTCAAACAGGAGCTGGAACTTTGTAAAGAGCAGTGATCAGTCAGTAACCATTGAGACACATGTAGATATTAAACTGCAGAAATGTTTCTTTGGTGCTCCCTGTGAACAGCTGTATTGAGTGGTAGGCCACTACCATCACCTCAAACTTTAAAAAAAAAACAATGGAAGCTGAAATGTTAGCAGGACTCCAGAACTATAATATACTGTACTGGGAACATATGGATTATGGTTGTGCCCATGTAGTCATCAGTCAATTGGAGACAACTACCAAACTGTGCTGTATATTACTTTTAGGGATGTGTATGGGAAATGAAGAAGCCTGTTTGTCTCAATAAAAACATGCATTACAGAAAGAGTTTAGGTTTACAGACACTGTTTGATTTCCATGGTCTGCACGGAGAAAAATGTTTACAACCGTTACATGGCACCAGAGAGCCATGTAACAACACGGATGTTTGTGTATATTTGGACATCTCTCGTGTTATTTTTTTCAAAACAAATGTGCCAATTTGGTATTTCTCGGATAACACTGTGCTGAGTGGTAACACAGGATGAACACACAAGGTGTATAAAACTGCTTATTATGTGACCGTATTAGTTGTTCTGTCATTTTCACATGCAGTTGAGTCTACATGTCACCTGGCTGCTACGACACTCTTTGTATGAGTCATTATGAAAATAATGACTAATATACGTATCTGTGCTTTTTTCAATTTATGTTTTTTTTAAGGATGACTTCTCAGATATGGGTACAGAGGGATTACATTTCAGTTATTGGTAAGAAGTCATGTATATACTCTACAATCTATGGTGAGTAACAGAAAGTTGCCACCATTTCCCAGAGAATCTGCTTTTAGGGTAAACACGCTGTTATAAGCACAGTGGTAGCCAATGTAAATATGTATTCTGAACCTTTCCTTTTACATTTAATTACACAATCTTAATACTGCCAAAACATTCATAATCAAGCATGGAGAGATCTGAAGTGTCCACACGATGGCCTTTCGTGTTATAGTCACAAAATTAATCTATTGATTTGTGTTCACCAACACGATTTCCCCCATTTGTTTCGTGTCACACAGAACGATTTTAAAAGCAATGTAAATAATAACAAATTAGAAGGAAAAAAAGATTTTTTTAAATACAGATTTCAGTATTCTGACACAAAACGATTTTAGAAGCAATGTATTTCTATTGGTAGTATGTTTCGTGCCTGCACCAAATAATAACAAATTAGAAGGAAATGTCAGTATTCTGAGGCTCTGAGCCCCATTTCTTTTCCTCACGGACGGCAAAAAAAGTCAGACATTATACAATTTAAAATAAAAACAATAATCGTGGCTTGATATTGAGTAAGAAAATGTTTTTATGAACCACACAGCTTCTGGTCTTCCAAGACCCGACCGGACAAAAAGACGTGGTGCAGACACAAAACATAGTACCAGAAATACATTGCTTTTAAAATCGTTCTGTGTGACACAAAAAAAATGGGAAGATCGTGTTGGTGAACACAAATCAATAGATTCAATTAATTTCGTGACTATTACACGAAATGCTGTGAGACTGGGTTGAATCGTTGGGGTATTATATTCAATAGTTTGGAGTCTATTGTCTTTTTCAATTTTTTCTGTTTTAGTATTTTTACATATTTTTTTATACCAGCTGAAGAAAGTGGTGGGCAACAAAGCTGATTAAAGGTGAAAGTGTAATGGCGGAGGATTGGCTTGTGTCGGTGTTGTGTGTTCATTCTGAGCTCTAACCTAATAGAGTAAGGTTAAATGATGGGAGGCCCTGACACCTCAGTAACGTAGGGACTTGTTCAAGTTTTGGGAGAAAATATGAACTCCCAAGGTTGAAGGCAATCTTCCTAATGATAACTATGATGAAAATGTGTTAGCTAGGTGTAGTAAAGTAACAAAACCCAAGTGAGATTCCTCCATTCAAGCTGCAGTGGCGGATCCAAGAAAATAGTTGTTTCTTAAATGCTAAATGCTCCGCTAGCGAATGTTCAATTTCTGTTTGTTTACTAGCTAATACTCACTAGCTAATGTCGGTACCACTTTACAATAAGACTACCCTTATTAAGGGTTTATGAATATTTTGTAATTCATTTATTAATTAGGTTGTGAACACTTTATAAATCATTAATAAGCTTTTATAAGACATGAGATAAACAGGGCAACTGTGACCGGTTGCTTGCCAAATAGTGAGCCCACATTTATCTGTACTGCTAAGCCTTATATTGATGTATGTATTGATGTATGAAAACTATGTTAGAACTGGTTTATAAATGGTTCTTAATGATTAATAAAGTGTTTACAACCTAATTCATAACCTAATTATAAACCCTTTATGAATCCTTTATAAGGGTGGTCTTATTGTAGCTACTGTTCACCAGCTAATGTTTACCAACTAATGTCCACTAACTAATGTGTACTAGCTCATGTTCACTAGCTAATGTCTACTAGCTAATGTCTACTAGCTAAGTTCACTAGCTAATGTTAACTAGCTAATGTTCACTAGCTAATGTTAACTAGTTCATGTTTACCAGCTAATGTTCACTAGTTCATGTTTACCAGCTAATGTTCACTAGTTAATGTTTACCAGCTAATGTTCATTAGCTAATGTTTGTTGTTGGAAACGTCATTTCACGTCTGTACACACAAACTGAAAGATTGACATTAAAGTTGACTTTGACTTTGACCAGCTAATCTTCACTAGCTGTCTCCTGTCTGGTGCTGTATATGTAGTGGGTTAATCTGATGTTATTTCACTGAAATCAGTTGTATGTGATGCTGAGCTACATTGATGAGAGCTAGACAGAACCAAATCAGTACATTTTGAGTTAAAGAAATGTGCTGGGAGATGCTAAAACGCACCGAGGGTAATCAGTCGTGCAACCTCTTTTACATTACAAATAGTCAATTTCCCCAATTAAATATTAAGGGATATGTCATTGTGCAGTTTATTACAAATTATTAATTGAGTAAAATGACCACTATAAAAGTAATATGTGGCATCCATGATAAAGATGGTGGAATTCTCTAAAGGCTAAGGGAATGCTTAATGTCTTATCTCTTTGAGCAGAACTGGAACATTTAAAAGGAAAATTAAAGGTGAAAAGGCAGGAACATTACAAACAACGTCAGACGCACATCAATAACAACCACCATAGCATAATGAGGCATGGCCTCGTTTCGTTCTCACCGTTTAAGTAAATCATGTCTTTTGCTACTTTACCCTCGCCTAATGTCATACAAAGATTGCCAGTTACAAATACTTCAAACGTGATTGTTGAGTGAAATGTGTTAGTTCTATTATAAAGCCATTATGTAGACTATGGTGATAGTATATTATGGATCAGGGCTTTTCCACAGAGGTATAGTGTTTCATTGTTATTTGGGGAGCAGAAATCACCTCTGCCTCATGATACTGTTGCTAGAGACAATCAAGCAACCAGAGTGAAGCAGTCCTAGCATTTAAATGATTTCTTAGCCTCAACAGGCGCCACACAGACCCAAACACAGCTCACAGCAGGTTAACCTGAAGGAGCTGTGGCTATGGATATTAAACATAAGTACTAACATGTATTGTGATGCATCACTTTGCTATACTTTTTCTGGTTTAGATTTTCTATGATTTGTTTCTATTCATGTTTTTTTTTTATTGATCTTTTTCTACTTGATTTATTTTTTTGTTCAATACGGTCATTTCTGTAATGATTATGAAATCGATGCTTTTCTCTTTCTTAGCTTCTTCAACAAACTGCTTGTTTTCTTCTGCTTTTTTAAAACAAATACGTTTCTCTCTTTATATGTGTCTTTGTGTCGTTTTCTTTTTAGCTCTGTGCATTCTCGGTTCATTTTCATTTCATACTTTAGACAACTATTTATTTCAACAACTAAAAGTGATTGTTATATTTGTACCACTGACTTGTGGTTAGTTGAAGCACTGGTTGACCATAGTTTTACTGAGGTATAAATATCATGTATCATGCACATCACGTATGAAATATCACTGGGTCTAAGGCATTCATATGAGGCCGCTATTTAAAACAACATTAAGGTCAACCAAAAAAGGAACCCTTTGTTTTTCTCTTTTAAAGGACTACATATGAAGAAGTGAAAGAAGATGTTTAGAGGTCCTTCTGCTTTTTATGAACAGAGGGAAAGGTCTAGCATTAGAGATTTACATAGGGTGCTTTGTGAAGCGTAAAAACTCCCCTTACACCGAAACTAAAGTCCTTGCAGATATGTATGACTAACACAAGATCATAACACAGAAATATTTCAGGGGGCTTTGTTTTATTTCCAAATAACTCCCAGTAGAATTGATGACAAGTTAATTGTACAGTGATTATAATAGAGAAAAACCCAGCAAGTATTATGTAACTCAGCAGACCTACCAAGCGTTATACCTTTTGTTTGGTTTTATTGTTTGGGTTCAGCCTTGCCGCTCCCATTAACATGTTTCAGCAGCAGCATGCAGTTGTTTCTAGTGAAAAAGCTCACTGTACTCTACCTGCCCAGCACCAAACAGTCAAGCCCAGCGGAGCTAACATCTAACTGCTAGACAACAGAGCCAGACATTTACAATCAAGCTTTCCAGAAACACAACCTTAAGTGAACGCTTTGTGTTGCTTTGTGTTTGCTGGATGTGTAAATAGTCCACGTCAGAGAAAAAAACAACTTCATACAGTAATAGTATTGAAAATATTATGTCTTCAGCTTGTTTCACTGTCCCAAGTGTACAGAATGAAATCAATTGAAGTTGCACTGATTACCTTCTGTTTGAAGAATAGATCAAAAGACTACTTTTAAATTGAAAGTGATCGCTTTTTTGCTTTAGGTATTCATCCAGACATCCATCTTTTACCGCTTACTGTGTCTGGGTGCGGAGATAGTAGTTCCAGCAGAGGGCCCCAAACTTCCATTTCCCCTGGCCACATCAACCAGCTTTGACTGGGGGATTCCAAGCCCCCCCCAGGCCAGCATGGAACTATAATCCCTTCCCCCTGGTCCTGGGTCTGGCCCTCGGTCTCCTCTCAGCTGGACGTGCCTGGAACACCTCCCTAAGGAGGCGCCCAGGTACATCCTGACCAGGTGCCCGAACCACATCACCTGGCTACTTGCGACTCAAAGGTCAAAGGAAAATCGGTTCTGCTCCGAATCCCTCCCGGATGATTGAACTTCTCACTTTATCCCTAAGGGAGATGACACTCTGAAGAAAACCCTTTTCGGCTACTTGTATCCGCAATCTTTTTCTTTCGGTTATGGCGCATCTTTCATGACCACAGGTGAGAGACACGAGGTGGCTTTTTAGGTTCTACCAGTAAATGTACTTAGTTGGGTGGGTAGAAGGGGGTATCATGCACCCCCCTGAAATATACTTCTAATCAGCTTTTCTAGATTGGAAAAATTGTGTAGAAAAACGATTAGCTATGTTAAAAAGTTGGCAAATTGTCCCACGTATATATTTTTCCCAAATTAGTGTTTATTTACCCTAAAAATCGAGTTTCACTCTTTTTACACCTTTCACTATATCTCAGCCATTATTGCAGATAACTGAACAAATAAGGTATCCAGATCCATGTTTTGAGGGTCAAGGAACACAATGAAACTATTCTTAAAGTGATCACATGTGTCTGTGGCAAGCTATTATGCTAATTAGTGCCGCCATTACAAGAAAATTGCATTTTAGTCTTGTACCAAGAAGGGTGTATTTTGTACCGACACAGAAATATACTTATAATCAGTGTTTCCTAAATGGAAAAAGTATGTAGAAAACAGCGACGTGAAGTCAGGGGAGGCAGGGGAGGCAGAGCCTCACCTGTCATACTCCAATGTAACGGAAAAACAACTAAAGAAAAACTAAATAGTAATAATAATAAAATGTCTCCACTGATCTGTGTTGTAAGTGTGATTTATGTTTGATTCCAATCCCTTTTTACAGTCAAAATCAGCAAATTTGCCGAGCTCCGCTACGGGAGCGATGAGAAGTGAGGCAGGGACGAGCTCTGCCTCTCGTAAGCCCACAGTAACTTGCTGGAGCACGGGCACTAATTTAGCGCGGGCACTTATTTTGTGAGCGCGCTCAAGCCAGTTACTGTGGGGTAAGGTGAGGCACAGATGAGATCTGCCTCACCTCAGAATGCGTCACCCCACAGAAACTGGCTGGAGCGCGGGCACTAATTCAGCGCGGGCACTTATTTTGTGAGCGCGCTCAAGCCAGTTACTGTGGGGTAAGGTGAGGCACAGATGAGATCTGCCTCACCTCAGAATGCGTCACCCCACAGAAACTGTCTGGAAAGCAGGCCCTAAGCGCATGCCTGTTACCATCTCACTGTAGGTCACCAATGTAATGTTTGTAGATCCCTTTATTACATTTATCCTCGCCATCCATAGTCTCTAAATAACTTATTTCACGTATATATGATATTTAGGCCCGCTGGTCTCATCGTACAACGGCAATGAGAAAGCACCAGGGGAGGCAGCCATAACCTCTGTCGCACTGAAGGGGGCGCACGTGAGCCCACAGGTTCTTGTTGCTACTGTTATTCTACGCAGAGACGGTAGACGCAAACAACAAACTAGACTTTTGAAACTACAGGAAGATAAGGAGGACTTTTACAAAAAAGTAACAGAGATTGTTGTCCAGAAGGATAGCATGGACTTCATTTTCAAGTCAAGGTAAGACCACATTTGTAATGAAAATGGGATCTTACTAAGAAAGAACAATCCAATATTTAGATTTGGGGTATCCTTTTGTTGAACGGTCTGTTTAAAATTAATCGAAGCATCAGACTAAAAAAGCTTTTGAAAATAACCAAATATTTCGATTAAGGTCAAAATATAATATTTGTAAATCTGACTCAGTGAGTCAGTGCCTCACCAGCCATGAACCTCACCGCACGTCACTGGTAGAAAATGATGAGCTATGTTAAAATGTTGTCTGGATGTCCCACATGTATTTGTTATGTAAATTAGTGCCACCATTACCAAAAACGGAATTTTCACACTTTTCACTATATCTCAGCCAATATTGCAGATAAATGAAAAGATCATGTGTCTTGACCCATGTTTTGATGGTCAAAGATCACAATAAAACTATATATCCCTAATGGGAGTTTGTGAGTGTGCTCACACACCGACTCACAGGAAAAGAATCCCGCCGTCTCAGGGAAAAGAAATCGGCGGAGCTGCAGCTGAGAAAAGATTGAGTGTGTGTGTGTGAGGAAGTCCGCGGATTGGTCCATTTGGGTATGGGCACGTCACTGTACCCAGGAAGAAAACAATGGAAAAAGAGAAATCTCCAACGAGGCGTTCTGGGGCAGCATAGACAGGTATTTTCTGTGTTAGAGTTTTACTCGCTACAGGGTGTACTTTGAGGGTTTGTGACTTTGCAGACCGTTTACATGCAGAAAAACCTTCATAACACACAAGGGGACGGGTAATAACCGGAAAAGCATGACATGGGACCTTTAAATGCAATTTTCTTGTAATGGTGGCACTAATTAGCATAATAGCATGCCACAGACACATGTGATCACTTTAAGAATAGTTGTATTGTGTTCCTTGACCCTCAAAACATGGATCTGGATACCTTATTTGTTCAGTTATCTGCAATAATGGCTGAGATATAGTGTAGATATAGTATAGGTGTAAAAAGAGTGAAACTCGATTTTTAGGGTAAATAAACATTAATTTGGGGAAAAAATATACGTGGGACAATTTGCCAACTTTTTAACATAGCTAATCGTTTTCTACACAATTTTTCCAATCTAGAAAAGCTGATTCGAAGTATATTTCAGGGGGGTGCATGATACCCCCTTCTACCCACTAGACTAACTATTATTATTCAGTCTTCCCACCCTTTCCATCTTTTCCGGATGCAACAAAAAGCTCTGATAAACTCAAACAAAGTGATCATCAAGCTCATAAACATAGAGCCTTTAATTGCTCAACATATTCCCTCAGGAGTTGGTGTAACATGAAGAACAGCTAAAAGGTGATTTAATATTGCACTTTAACATCTGAAAAGAAACTCAACTCTAAATACATTGAGAGCTGGCTTTGATGACAATGTTGTATTTACAGCTTTATTCACTGCACACAATCTAAAGCCACTTGTTGATCATGTTCAAGGACACTTATCCATCCATCTCAACATGTCATTTATTTTAGTGCCTTTCCAGTCCTAAACTATAACAACAATAATGTTGGCCACATTAGTTTGGTCGGTGTGATGCACAGGGAAACCACGCTGAAGAGGAAAGTACTTCTTCATTGGAAAACAGGTTTCGTCAGAGAATGGTATTGATTAAGGGAAGTTCAATGGACTAAATATAAACACATATGCAAGAAGCGCCTGGAAACCCCCCCCCCCCCCCCCCCTCGGTTTGATAAGAGATACTGACACATGACGGTGAAATCCCATGAAGCTGGGGTCTTCCCCCCAGGCTTCTCCTCCACTATAAATGTTGGCGCAGATGGAGAGTGATCACACAGCAGAGAGAACAGGCTCAACTAAGACTTTCACACACTAATACCTAGAGAACACACACTGTTCAGGATGGCTGCTCCTCGTCTCGCTCTGTGTGTGTGTGTGCTGATGCTGGCTGTCTTCACTCTGACTGAAGGTAAGGGAGGCTTCCACATAACACATTCCACCAGTGAAGGAAAATAATCTTATTTTAAATGTTTATGATTTTGGTTTGATAGCAATATATATAAGTCATTCAGTCTGATCAGTTAAAGTTGTTTTTGTTCATTTCTAACATATTTTCTTTTATTATTTTTACAATAAGGCACATTAAGTGAGGCATTCCTCTTACAAAATAAATAATTAAATTGCACAGCTCTCCCACTTTAAATGACCATAATCTGCACATATTTTATTTGCCAAAGAAATGTGTCATTTACTGTGTACTTTACTTGTATTTACTTTTTGGTATATTTGTTGTATATTTATACCTTTTTTAAACATTTCATTATTTTAATTTTAAATAATTGTCTTGTAGTTCTGTATTTGCTCTTTTGTGTCCAACTGAATTCCTTTAACTGTGTAAATGTATGCAGAGTTATACACCAAAGAATATTATGTGTAAACCTACTACTACGACCTTTTAGGTCATATTTCTTGTCGCTGATTTCTGAGTGGCCTGAAAATATTTATTATCCAATGTCAAAGATTGAGAAACTGAGATTTAAAGGTTCCAGCATCAAAAACACTAAGGACTTGTTGAAGCTAAACCTACATTTATTAAAATGTGTATTTCCATTATAACAGTTCACTTTATTAAATGGAAAGCCAGAGTAACACAAGAGTTTCCCCATTTGACAATGGAACAACTGAGCAATGTCACAACCTGTTAAACAAAAAGCAGTATCAGATTGAGCTTTAGGAAGGAAATAAAAGCCAACATACAAAAGGAACTGAATCTGACTGTGTGTTTGTGTGTAGGTTTGCGTGGTGCTGGCCCGAGGAGATGCTGCTTTAAGTTCAATGAGAGAGAGGTTCCCAGAGGCCGAGTGATCGGCTACGTCAGGACCAGCCAGCGCTGCCCCAACCCTGCCGTCCTGTAAGTACAATACTACACCACAATACTGCACCAACACAGCACCTCAGGAAACTTTCTCAGTTCAGGATAAAGTCAGTCCAGTTTTAGTCTAGATACTTACTTTACCATTAACCTAAATGAAGCTTGGGTTAATAAATACTTTATTTATGCAGCCAAACGTTGTTATATTTTAATTTCTTAATATTTGTTGGTATTTGTTTTAGACACAGAATTTGTTTTAGTAACTTAGTTTCAATTTATTTAATTTCACTGCTGAAAATAAAACCATTCCTGTTATTTTAGCCCCAGATTACAGCACAGTATTGGCTGCAACACTATCACAGATTGCATTATCATAGATGTATTCCTTTGGAGGGGGGCCACGGGGGGGTCCAAGCACAGTGTTACAGGGGTGCTGGACCCTGTTGGCCCCACTAGAACCGCCCAGTCACCTCAGTACTCTGCCTGAATACACCTCCTCAGCATGGAGTCACTGAGGGTCTCTGTGTGTGTGCAGGTTAAGGACAGTGGCAGGTCCACGTCAGCTGTGTGTCCGTCCTTCAGCCCCCTGGGTGAAGAATCTCATCAGCTACCTGGACACCAAAGCCATCCCAGGAGAGACAACCAACCTGTAACCGTGGCGACATCACATCCACTATCAAAGCCTGTGATCTGATGCTGCATCTCAAACTATACCTGTCAAAGCTGCATCTACTACAGATGTGTTACCATATGTAAGGTCTGCAGTACCTCTTGTTAGGTACTAAATATTGTTATTTTTGTAACATGGACCATTTGCTGGAATGAGACAAATGTACACTCCATTTTGTATATTTCTGATTTTTAATTGAATGTATGTGGAACTATTTGTATATTTTTGCTTGATACAACACCCACATAACCGTCAACACTGTGAACTACTGATGCATTGTTATTGGAACTGACTTACCAAAACGTTCTTCACTGTAAAAATGCAATGTCCCGCACTGCTTATCAGTAAGGTATAAGCTACAGTATGTGTAATGCCACTGTTTCTGCAAGGAACCATTGTGACCTTTTCTTCTTGTTTTTGATATATAGTAAAGTGATGATGTTTTGTTCCTATTTATAGTCATATTTTGAATACCTCTACAGATAAGTATGGAATTTGGTTACAAATTATTTATTTCTGTATTCTACTGATTTGATTATATTGAATTAAAGCATGATAACATGTAATGGTTTGTCTTGGTTATTTTCTTTCTGCTTACCATGGATTAAGTTTCAACGTACACTTACACATTAAAACTCTCTGAACTGCCTTTTTCTAAACTAGAGTTTGGAACCAAACACGCTTCAGAGAAGTTCCTTTTCAAGGCCAAGGTGTTTTCATTAACTGTTGAGCATTTCTCTCACAGAACTGTGGAGTCAGCTGCAAATATGGTTTGACCCCAAACAAATGTGACCTGCTCCATCGAAATCAGTCGCATTGACCCGAAGACACATTTTGAGTTGTATACACTGTTGGAAAGAGGAGATTCCTAGCTTTCTAATGATATCAGGATTGTTGTTGTACTCCAAATATTAAGCGAAATATGTCACATTATATAATGACTGTCACCGAGTCATCATTTTGAGAAAAAGGCCTTCAAAGTTTCCTCTTCTCTGGAATCCATCGATCTGATTGATTATTAGAGGAGCAAATGATCAAAATACTACGGAGGGAAGATATTTTCGTTTGGATTACTGGTCTGGGGGAAGCTCGCGAGTGTGTGTGTGTGTTTGTGTAATTTTGCATTTGTGTGTATTGTATTTGTTTCCTGGGGAAAACACTCACGAGAAACACCAGCTGTTGTTATGCCTGCTGTGACGTCAAGTTACTCCGTTCTCCGCTTGTAATTATGCCGTTACACGCTTCAAAGTTGTATTTATCATCTGAATTTGCCGAAACAAGTTTAATATTCTGAAAGCCAAGACTTTGTTTAATTGAAATCAAATGAAAACAAACTGTAACGGACCCTGCCGTGTTATCTATGATTACTATATGCCTTACATTCATAATTTCAGCCGGAGGGAGGGGAAGCAGCGCTGTGGAACAGCAGAGTGGCGAGTGAGAGCTTTCATCTTCCCTTTACAAGCTTCAAAAATGTATTTATCGTGTGATTTTGGAAATAAAAGTTTCATATTCTGAAAGCCAAGACTTTGTTTGTTTAAAATCAAACAAAACACTCGAACCCCGAAAAACTATTTTTTTACACAAATCCACATTTATTTTTTAAATGAGCCGTTGCGACTTCCGACTGATTTCGATAGAGCGGGTCACAAATTGCAACAAAAGGTTTCTCAATGGATTATTGTAGTATCAGGTGTACTTAATAACATACTAAAAGTCTACCAAAATCTGACCACTACAAAGGTCTAATTTTCAAGATGGCGTCCAAGATGGCCGAAAATTCCTTGAAGGTCCCACGTCATGATTTTCCGGTTATTACCCGTCCCCTTGAGTGTTATGAAGGTTTTTGTACTTGTCTATGGTTCCGAGAGTGTAAGCTTGTGCAACGGCATTAGAAACCGTGATTTTCAAGCTGAACACAAGCCAGAAAGAAATGGCATCAGCATTGTCGTGGTCAACTCTCGTAAACTGGATATGCTCCTTGACTGGATCTTTCTGTAGCCGTTTCAGGAGTTTCTCTGAGCAATAATTTGTGTTCTCGTACCCATTCAATTTCAGCTCTTCCAAATACAGCAAGGGCAAGGAAGATAGCTGTAGGACCTCATTTTGCTGGACTACATGAGTTCCAATGTGTTCCAGTACTGAAACAAATGCCTTTTCATGGGAGGCTGAAATGAAAGCTTGGTTAGTATCCTTAGCTCCTGTTTTAAGAATACTGCTGCGCTCGTAGTTGGTGAATGCTGTGAAAGATTTAAAGCATGACTGATGGTGTTTAGCCTCATAAGCAAAGAGGTCTTTGCCCTTCATTTGTCTTTGAAGTCGAACTAGACCCATTTTCTCAGTCCGTGATTCGATTTGCTCCCATGCATTTTCTTTGTTCTTATAAGATGGGAAGTATTCAGGTCTCTCAGTTTTACGATGACCATCTTTGATCTCAACTTTGTCGCAAAAAATGCACTGCAGCTGTACAGCTAGCTAGTGTTGATAATTTGTGATCTTCTCGCTCCCAGGAAAGAAACTTAAAATAACGAGACTAATGGAGTCTCTGAAAAGGTTCAAATGGGTAGTTTAATTAAGTAACGTGGTTAAAGAACAAGCATGGTGAATGGAGAGACAAAGCCGGTGTTGTCTTGAGGGAGGCTGCAGCGAAGGGAAGAGACTGAGTTATCTTTCGTCCTGCCTTTTTATCCACGTCTCGTTGTCCCCCGCTGTGCAAATAGTGGGTGGCCCCCTACTCATTTGCCGGTTCGATATCGCGAGAGCACAGATGATTTCGACATTGATATTCTCTGCCTACTTCCTTAAGCATTTTCTCCTCATTATCTCTGTCATGACTTTCTATTTAATACCTTATAAACAGCTGTAATACTTAGTTTAGAAGTCCTAGTGGTTCCGCTCCGGCACAGTTCTTATTTTACGGAAATTCCCTCTGACGTCATAGCTTCTCACGTATCTGTAAACACTACGATCAACTAGACCTTCATTTAATATTCAGCAGTAATAATATCTTAACGTCTATCGATGTAGTGTTAAAGTCCGTACGTTTGTGTGTAACACTCCAAGTCATTTTCACTTTACATTCAGAAAACGCAACATTAGTCACAAGCTAACCGGATAAAGGATTTTTCAAAATAAAAGCTTGGCATTGATTTCCTGAGAACTTCCGGGCTTTTCCACAATAAAACAGCTTTAAACTGACGATATGTTTTAGACTGAATTATGCTGTTTAACATTGATTTTAATTTCTAACAATCCCTCCTTTCACACCATTTAAGGTGTGAACACAATACTAAAAGTAATAAGTTCTTCATCTGACTGCTTTTAAACTGACGGTATGTTTTAGACTAAATCATGCCATAAAACATTGAATTTTAATTTCTAACAATCCCTCCTTTCACACCTTTTAAGGTGTGAACACAATACTGAAATCAATGAGTTCTTCATCTGAACTTTGCATAGTACATAACTCATATCAAAAACATACTATCAAAATGGAATGGTTCAAATAACCGTCATCAAAAATACAAACAATACATTGGTTGGTCTTCTGGTGTAAAAGTTTTCCCTTGTGCATAACTTTTAGTTTTAACATTCAATATCACTTTTTAAAATAGCAGCAACTTGTGGTATTAGAACATTTCTTACTCCCTCCTTTCACAGAAACCGTTCCCATACCACATTCAGTGTTAAGGCACTTGTTTTACAAAGTATAAAAACATACTATTTAAAAATCGCATCACTAATAACAGTATAAAACATAAAAGTTAGAAACCTTTTTTGAATAGTGCAAAGTAATACCACTTTGTAGCTGGTTCTTCATTCTAATGATTTCATCATTTGAAATATATTTCATCATTTGAAATATCACATGATTTGGACATTCTTTGAACAATCTCATCATTTATCATCCATATCATTTAACATCATTTACACACTGTCTTCATTTTCATCAATATCTGTATATGGGTTGAGTCGTCTTGTTCTGCTAGCAATTGAAACTGTTCCCTTATGAGATATTTACCCTCCCCCCTTTCATACTTTTTAAAGTATGAAAGTAATATGTTCTCTAGAAAAGGCCGTGGTGATCAATCGGTACGTTAGGGTGCGGGTACATGGAATGCAACTCCAACATCTAGCACTCCCCTGGGCACCCCTATGCTATCCTTGTACACTGTCGAGCCTAAACTCCCTCCTTTGACTGGTCTCTTAGCCCTACTGGTTTTGGGGCGTTTCGCCATGTTGATTAACTGCCCCACTGTCATTGGTACTGCATATAAAACATCACTGGCTGTACAAGTGCACAGGTCCCAGTCTAATCCTGTAGCAAGACTGCATACAAGGGTTTAGTTCCATGATACCATCAAACATCTACTCTGGGATACGGCATTTCAGACAGTCATTTCTGGGAGAAGATTTTGGTCAGTTACAACAATTGGAGAATTTCATCACTTATGGTTCCTACTTCAGTACCTTTGGGTGGTCCGTTCTAATGCAGTGATAAAGTTCCTTAAATGGTGTGAAAACCGGTGGAATATCAATAACTCATTTCACTAATTTATCTTCAATTCTAGTCTGTTTAAAGAACTATGCTAACCCCTTTAACAGTGTGTGGAACCTTGGGTGTCCGAGCATGTAACAGTTACTCCCTCCTCTATCAAGGATTTTAAAAACAGTAGTTATTTCATCCATGGTTTGTAGTTCAATTTAGGAATTTTCACTTATGGCGGATATGTTTCTACTTTAAATAACATCTCTAAATTTCAGGTCATCCCTGATTAAATGGATGACCATCAGGAGGTGGTGGCGCTTGTCTTTTAAACTCATAATTTGGTGCCGTGCGCTCCCTGTGAAGCTACAAGTAAGATTTAAAACAACTGCTGGGTGGGTTGAGTGACCCCTTCTCTCTAAACGATATGGGTTGTCAAAAATATGCATCATTGCAATGAGTGATCCAAGGCCCCGCATGTATTACTCCCAATTATATTGCTTTTTCCAAAATTAAATTTGCAATCGCTCTTTGCCCAGTGTCCTTTAAAACTCTACATCTTGGACAAACAAATGTTATTTCCACCTTAACAGTTCTCCTATGGTAATAACTATGCTACAATGGCGAAAACAATACTTTAGATTGGGATACTATATTTGGCTTGGTATTAGCTCTCCCTTTAACATTGTCCAACTAACACAGATTTGTCTGTTCTTATAGAGTGGTCACTAAAACTATCCCTTTAGCTGGAGATCAATATTGTAACACATTAGATCTCTACCAAATTCACCCATGAATAAAATCTTTTAGGGAATAATTCGTTTACATGATGGAAAGATTGAAAAATATGTTCTACTCCTAAGTCCCACAACACTCACTGCTTAAAGTGTAAAGTGTGGTGAATATTTCCATCATGTCTACCCCTTTATCTCACAGTACCCTCAGTGTGTTTTAGGATTATTTCCTCATTTTACTTTAACAGTTTCCTCTTTATTACTATTTTAATTTACCAATTTATTAATTCATGGCTAATAAATCTTTTTGTCTTTACGTATTTATCAAGTCAATTCAAGTTTGTTT